AATTGATAGAAGTACCAAGTAGATCCATGCAAGATACTCACTAATCGAGACATACGTTGCATTCAAAGAACCACCGTTCATGGTTCCGTCCTTCATCCACCCGGGCTATTTAGGGTGAGACGTCACATCGTGTAGAAATGGCACACATGCAAGCACTCACAGGAGACCAAGGAACGACGTGGACTCTCAACAATTGGTTGATCGCCAAGATATCTTTGAGGGTCGAAAACACGTAGCTCGGCGCGGCGCTGATGTTGAAGTGGTTGAGGTCAACATCTCCACTGGTGTCGTCATAGCTGTATCCTGTCCAAAACAGGTGTCAACGACGTGCCCACGATGATTGAGCGAGCCGTACTATCCGCGGAGAAGTCCGTGGCCCCAAGAGGAACTCGGATGTACGAGAAGCCGGCAGAGTTGGAGCCATCGGTGACTACACCATCGGAATGATGAGTGGGTCTTGTACACGAGGCTCGGACGTATGCTCACTGTTGAAAAGATAACACAGCAATTTCCAGTAGCTGTCCGGGTTCTCGGACTGGAAAGGCGTTCGGTTCAGTCACATGTTCAACACACGGGATTCTCCATACCTTGAGGGTGTGTAGAAGGGACGCAGAGGAGTCAGCTATTCTCAACTGTTAATCTCCGTTGTGATTTTGCAAATAGAACGTGATAACCCACTCAACGAAGCGCCGAAGCCATAGATGGTCTGGTGAACGGCCGAGTCGTCGATGACGATATTTGCACTGCCAATGGCGCCAGGCGTAACGAATTTTATCGGATCTGGAGTAGGCTGGAAGTAAGAGAAGAGCTTCTGCCTGTCCCATGTCGTTTGCCACTTTGCGAGAAAAGAGATCAAAACATGAGTGAAGACCTGGGCGTCGACAGGTGTCTCCAACACATACAATGTCATATATCTGCTGACAAGCCACTGTGGTCAGGGAGGCGAGTAAAACGACTGTTGACGCCAAGCGCATCGTCGTCCTTCAGTCAGCAAGGAGGAACTGAGGGAATACAAGACGTACGAGGGCCACTCGTGGCCGTTAAATATCAAAAGCATTGTAAGGCGCTCCGAGTCCTGGTGGAGATCTGCTATTCCGGGACCGAAAGACGCATCCACGCGCCGCCCCCTGAACAGAGCCGAGTGAACCATGAAAGGCAGCATGAGGCATAATGGTGGCGGACTTGACGTGTGGCATGCGAAGGGCGCTTGGGCTATAATTGGCTCTTTTGTCCGCCTCACCACGCCGAGGACACTAACGGATCAATACGGATATCCAGTGATACCTTTACCGTCAGCTTTGAAACATCCGGCATGTCATCAAATATGGCTGAACAGAAAGAAGTGACCAGGCCGAACATTTAAGAGAATCCAGGAGGAAGGTCTAAATGAACCAAAAATGAAGGTGAAAGACCTGAGTGACCACCGTGACATGGCCAAGAACTTGTATAGCAAAACGGAACCGCACGTACCAACCGTACCAAAGAAAGGCCCTGCGACTGTAATAAAATGCACGTCGAAGCGCGTCTGCAACACGAGGCCCCGGCAGTGGTAATGTTACGCTGCACCACGCCGGCCAGCCACTGCCAAAGATCACTGGCAGTCTGGCATGGCACCTGCGACTCACCATGCGCAATTTAATTCCACACGCCCAACCCCACTATGGAAAGGAAACGCGGCGATCGTGGAATCAACGTGACACGCTACAGGTAAACGACGACCTGCACAAGGAAGGCGGGCCCCATTAACTTCCATGTCCGAGAACGACGAGCCAGTGTGCAGACCTGTATGGGGAAGCAGCGGAAGTCGTGCATATGCAGCGATGCTAGCGGCGCCGCGCGCTATTCACATAAACGTGCTTCAAGTAGAACTCCTGGACAATAGCTCAGGCCACTAGTGCAGATTTCAAAGGAAGTGGACGGGAGAATAACCCCGTGGCGTGACACTGTCACTGGCAGTGACGCTGATCCGCCAATCCAAGTACTAATCCATCCTTAACCACGTTGTGGATACTGAAACCGCTTATTTTGGGCGGGTCATTCAATGAATCCCCAGATTCATTGACTTTTTCCACTGACACCTCAGGCACAATCGAAGTACACTGCCAGTGACTCAGTGAGTGCTAATGTGCTTCAACGTGGGTGATGATGACTGACGAGTGACGTGTTTCCGGATAGGCCGCACCCACAACGAAATAGGGCAGTGAATGAGTTGGTGGGGGCATGCGAGCAAGCTCGACGCCCACACGGGTGGGTCAAGACAGGGCATGCACCAAGCGGGTCGGGGTGTGCAAGGTGGTGAGCAAGCCCTGAGGCTCGTTGCCTACCGTTTTGGATGTGCGTGACCTGTTTACAGTTTATACGGCCAGTGTCAAGTTTGACTAAGGCATTTGAATTGTGACAATATACTTGGCCAGTTTAGCACACAAACAACACGTTTGGGAGGATGCAATGGGCGTGTTGAGTGTGGGTGGCCAAGTGGTCCAGTACGATACACTTCATCCTCACCGTGATCCAAGTACCGATCCGATCTCGCTGAGCTGGCCGCCACCATCTGCGATGTGCCGCCGAAACTGTGGCGGAGTAGAGAGGCGTACTTGCAGTGTCCAGACGTTCTCGTAGACGGGTGACGGGTGCCGCTGACGGGTCTGACCTGCGTTGCAGGCTCAGCAATATGTGCAGAAAAAAACAAGTATAGCCTGTTGCCGACTCCACTTGAGGAGGGTCTTCGCCGCCAGGCAGCAAACGCCAAAGTATCTGCCTTTCCGGCAGAGTCCGACGCCGCAGTTCGCCGACGGCGGATTCCGGCTGAGTTCGCGGGAGTCGATCATACAAGTCCCTGTCGTTAACGTTTCAACCACCGTGAATTGATCTACACGATTTTGCCACTGTTCGCCACTGATCTGTTCACTCTCCCGACGCTGTCATCAGGTCAATCAACCAGCGCTCGCCGATAGGCTTTACTAGCCCAGATCATGACAGGGATGACCGTGTTTTGCATTGTAAGTCCAACTATTTTTTCCATCTCTCACGAATAGGCACGATCGCGGCTTACACTTCAACACAACCCCCAAGATATCGGGCTGTACTCCCGAAATTGCGAGCAATTTGCTCTACATCCACTCTTTTGGACCAATCGTCACAAGCGCCCTCAAAGCCCTTGCAGACCCACACGAGCTCGCTTCACAAGACGATGTGTGTGTCATTGCACCAGTACATCCTTCTGGCCAAGCGTATGCGGAGGGCTTGCAGGACGGTATTCTGTCCGACACCGATCCAGAACCTCGTGCGCGCGATCTGCATCCCGAGACAGACATCCGCATCGTACCACATTGTGTCATGGGAGACTCGTGGGATTTCGGCTTCGTGGATGGTCCCCCGCCGAATGAGAAAAATTGGACCTACCTGGTTTCATGCGGGTGCACTCTGATGGTGCAAACATACGCGCTTGATATCATGGCACTCGTTACGCACGGTCGGATGACGCCGTTGAGGCTGTGGCGCCTTGCGATGCGGCAAGGGTTTGAGGATTTGGTGCGCCCATGGTGCCTCGAAGGCGTCGAGTACGGAGAAATCACGGGCCTGTGGCAGCAGGGCCCAGAGGAGTTCCCAGGATTTACCCAGGCGCAAGTTATGGAGCTTGAAGGAATCGGAGAGGTCGAAATAGTGAAACGGCGCTTGGTGAACGAGGGCCTCTACTGGGTGTGGATGGCTCCTGATCGGTAAGACGTTTCCATCCTTTCGGTGCATTAGGATGGATCTTGATATATCCTGGCAGTTTCCCGGTTTCCTCGACAGAGGATGAATACCCCACGGTTGAGCTTCCTGAGGTACACTCTTGTGGGAATCGTTCAGCGATCGAGAGCGTCCCTCCCGAAGTGCTGATACCCATCGTCTCATCCTTGTCCCTCACATCGCTCCTCAATCTCGCGAGCGCTTCGCGGTCGCTGCGCACAGGAATTCTTGGAAATGACTACTGTGCATGCGTTTGGATTTACAACAACGCACCATGGTGGATCCCTGTACCAACTCAAACGCCAAAAAAAGATGACCAGAACGAGCCACCAACCAAAGTCACCCAGGTGTATCCTGCCTCTCAATGGACTGCGCACACCCAAATGACTGCAAGCTTTCCTTCTGGTCTAGGTTGGGCATACATCAAGCGATGTATACGATCCGGGTCAATGCGCAACCGTAAACGTATATGGAATGCAGCAGTTGACATTGAGCATGTCGCAGACCTGGCAGGGGTATAGAATTAGATCTATTTGGCCACACTCTTATCCGTAGTGGGGTATGCCTGTTGGAGGTATGAGTTCTCTTAACAAGTTTTTTTAGTCAATCCGGTGTCCCATGATCGCTCGACCACCTTCGTTGGTGCCTTCGGTGACTCCTGGATTGGCAATCGACCCCGAAGCTCCATTGACCAAGACCGGAGATGAATGTTAACGACCGAAGAAATGATGTATCGTCCTTTCATGCAAGTTAGCCACCATCTGCGATTCCGATTGGTCGAAGCCGTTGTCGTTGAGCGGGTGGTGGGCGTGTCGTTGGACAACCACCCCAGCCCATGATGCTAGACATATTGGTGCGATATCGCTTCGCACATGCGCAGCATGCCCGCGCAATTATTCTGGGCAACACAAGTGCAGAAAACGACCCCAGCATGTCCTTTTTTGACGAAACCCGGGCCCATGTTCCAGTTGCCTGACTGAGGAATATTTTAGCAGCAACAACGAAAGGGCCATCTGAGTCCTGACACGCGCACGGGTACGATCTTGCGCTGCCAGGTGAACGTTCCGAGTCACTTTTGCTCGGTGCCCAATCCACCTGCGCACGCGGCTGGCTCCCTGCCACGGCGTCGCCTCTAGCTTTCGCCCACGACTGCACCTAACGAACTTTGAGTTTCATTGCCGTACCTACATCATACTCGTAGCCACACATCTCTGATAGCTAAGCAGAGAACTTGTCGAAACATGAGTGAAAACGGTCACCAAAAAGTGTGGTTCAGCCCAGGATCGAACTGGGAACCTTCTGTGTGTGAGACAGAAATCATAACCATTAGACCACTGAACCGATGTTACTCCCAGTGGCACCTAGCAATTACACTCGGATGTGAGGCCTATGAGGAAATCGTCCATGAGGAAACATTAAAGGGACGCTACATCATGCTTCATTTCGTTCCTCTCTCCGGACCAAAGAAGTTCAAAAGTCCCCCACGCTTGGGCCCCCCTCCTCTGGGCTTTGGAGTAGATTTCGCCTTGGGCTTCCCAACACTTTCTTCCACCACTTTTGGTTTCGCCTCCTCGACCTTGACAGCGAGCTCTGAGACTTTCTTCGTTTCCCTTCTTTTGCCCTTGCCCTTGAGCTTTGTCTCTTCTTCCTCCTCTTCTTCAACAGACTCGTATGATGAATAGTCTTCTGTCTCTACAATACAGTATCAAGCAGCGTCCTTGTGAAGCTTCGCAGGACGACGTACGGATATACCCCTTCGCATCGGTTGTCGTCCGACTTTTGACAACGCGCCGTTTCTTCAGTCCATTGCGGCCAACGGGGACGACCTTGCGTGGCTTCCTCTTTTTCGGTACGATTGGTACGTGATCAGATTCATCGTCTTCAGTGGTTACAGGCGGGCCTGCCGCTTCTTTCTCGGGTTCATTACCCTCTTCTCCCGACTCCTCCTCCTCCTCACGGAGAGCACGGACCCTGCTAATCCTAGACACGTGATCGACTTGCTCTACGCACCTGATCAAATACAGCGAAACAGCGATAAGCAGAAAACACACCATCGTCGATATCCATCATAGCTCGCAGGCTCATCTCGGAATCGGATGTCAAGGAACTCTTTCTTTTTGGGCGTCGCTGGCCTAACCTACGAACTTCGCTATCGTCGTCGTCGTCCGAATGTACCACCCTTTTCTTGACAGATGAACCAGCGGCCATACTTGGTTTGACATTCGCTGATGACAGCGACTCGGACTCGGATTCTGGATCTGTGTCTACGAGAGGTTTTCTCTTCATCCCTCGCTGAATATATTTTAGTTGAATCCTTCACAGAAGACAGTGCAAGGGGTACCTTCTGGGCGTCGCCACTCACAGCGCCGCTGGCTTTGGACTTGAAGACAGACGATTTCGTCGGTTCCAATCTCGGTTTTTTACCCGCTGAGGAATCCGTGGTAGGGACAGGGGAATCGGGATCTAGCTTGGGTTTCTTTTCCTCCTTTGTCTTCTCCGCGACTGGCTCTTTCTCTTTGGTCTTTGCCTTACTCCAGTCTAGTTTACCAGAAGGCTTCGGCCTGTCTTTAGCTTCAGCTCTCGGCAGCGATATCGTCGCGGAAACTTGTTCTTTCGTCTCCGAGGGCGCCTTGCCTTTCGTAGTCTGTTGCTCTGCCTTTGTAGGGACCACAAGTTTCGGTGCCACCGTAGCAGGTACATCCAAGGTTGTTTTGGACGATGATGCTGCACTTTGATTAACAGCCCCAGCTCTGAGCTACAAAGACATCGATAAGAAAAGAATGTACCAGGGCGCGAGCGTATCACCGACCTTGACATGAGACCCAGTAATCTTCCCGACAACGGAGAAAGATTGCGGACCGCCTTTGGCGTCCGCTCTTTGAACTTTGGAAGTTGGAGTACAGACCAGTCCCGCGTCCTGCGCTTCTCGGTCAACCAGTCAAACACGTGCCGACAGTGCACGCACCACGAATCGTGACGGAGATAAACTGTATATATGCACGGAATATATGCGAGAAAACTGTGACATCGCCTCTAGTGAGAGAGTCGGTTTGAGTACGAACTGAGCCGTATGGACGAGATACGCACCATCGAGCGTGCTGGCGTCCACCAACAACACCTTGCTCTCGCATACTACATCCATCTCCTCCTGGCCCTCCTCAAACTCCAGATCCATATCCATCGCAGACTCGGACTGTTGCGTTTGCGGGCGCGGGCTGACCGTCAGCGCGGGTACTTCTCCAGAGACGAAGTACGTGGGCACAGCTGGCGCGTCCGTGTCGCGTACGGCGTCGTAGTAGAGTCGCAACTCGCTTTTCAGACAGGATCAACAGGGGGTACGAGAGGGCACAGAACTCCGCTCGAGGGTAACACTCACTTCTTCGCATCGTTGACGTGAATCCCGAGTTCGCGGCTGAGTGACCTGAATGTGACCTGGAGAGGCGCCGTAAGTGAGAAGATGCCACGTCGTCGTGTGGGAAGGAGAAGAGCGTACGACGCCGTGCTTGACAAAGAGCTCTTTGTCGAGGAAGTCTCTGGCTTTTTTTGTCGTCATCGTGGACCGAGATCAAGTAACCGTGTCAGTGCCGACGCGTTTGTGGCGCCAATCAGCGCCAACTTTCAAGCCAATTGGATACGATTTTTGGGTGCGGAGAAACCTTGCATACAATGTAATGGAATTGTGCTGCAAAGAATCTGCCCAACATAAACTCATCGACTATCATGTAAATAGATCACGCTATCCACAATGCCATGTTTTGAGTCGAGGGAAAATCAATCAAGTTTGGCACCACCATCCATCCGTATGCATGCGTTCTTGCATACTTACGTTCCTACCCATGGCTAGGGCAGAAACGGTCCGACCAAGTGGAGACTAAGTATCTTGCTCGTAAGCATACACCAACACCAACCATCCAAAGTACAGCAAAAATTCTAGGCTCAGAATACCCCGACAACACCTGCAGGGGGAGTGCTGCGTATTTTCCCAGGAGCGGCCCGCGCAGAAAGTGCATCCAGAAACTGTTTCCAGCGCTCATCAACAGTCTTCACCACATCGAGCTCAGCCAGCTGACCCCGGGTTGGATTATGTGCATGCAGGACGACCAGGTACTCGGACAAGTCACCCTGCTGTCTGATCTCCAGTGTGTTGTTTCCCGGCTTCATTAGGGATGATATGTCGACGCATTGATCAGGGGTCAGCTACAAAGGGTGGGAGTGGGTTGTAGAAACGCACGGGGAAAATTATCTGGAACACGTACGAAAAGTGGGGGGGAAAGTGCGATGACGGTCTGTCTCATCCCGTTGTTGACGTGCAGGGACAACAAGTCTGGATATGGCCAAGAGCAAGATGATCGTGATGTCAACTCTTCAATGTCACGTCTGCCACTTCCCAACTTGATCGAGTCAAAAAAGTCGGGGAGACGATAGCAACCTAGTGAAATGCAGACTCCGTGAGGTGCTTCTCTGCGCGATAACAAAATGTCAACTTCGTTCGACGTTCGGACAATGTGCCACGTACGATGGGTGAAATTTCCTGTTCACCCACTTTGATATTTTGGCAGATATGCTTTCATTCAAGCTGATATCGAACATGTGGGTATGGGTGAATGGCTTCCCCGGTGTGCTGTGAATAACGGTCATCTTGTTGTCGAATCGTCGTTCGTTCGCATCCACTCCCGACTGTTGGGGCTGACCGGGAGGTGTTGGCGAGATTCTGAAATTCAAGTTCAGAGGTGGTTCCCAGGTACTCATGAGAGGTGGGAGAATTGGACCCCGAAGTTGCAGCACCCGGGGAGATTGTGGTGGAGTAGATTCTGGTTTGGGAGGGAATTCTAGGAGTCGCTCGGAACCTGAACCTGAAGTGGATATATCGTTTGATTCCATCGTGGCTTTGGGAAGCAGTGGAGGCGCACCAACGGATATAACAGATTCACCATTGAGTAACGGAACTTTAACCGAGGGGGATTGGTGGTCTGTCTGAGGTATGGATGGTTTCGATGATGGAGCGAGCGGTTGTGACTCTAGAGACGGTAACTCCTTGTGCGGCAAAACTTCCAGCATATCATGGGTTTCTGGTATCGCCGCGGATCGAGCGTCAGATCCCATCCTTTCTGATGATGGCTTTTTCTGGACGGAAACATCGTGGACAATTTCAAAAGATCTACCCTCCTCGCCCGCTGACTCGAACCCGGGGGGTAATGTAGAAGTGTATACGCCAGACTTCATCTCCTGAGCAACGTCGAGGGGAATTCGGCGAGGTAAGCGGCGAGACGGCACCATGCGAGCCGTCTTCCTCTTTGGCGACAGCGACGGTCCGAGAATATGGGCTGTGTCAGAAGCCAGTGCCGGCGAGGACTCACCAGCCTTGGACGAGGCTGCACCATGGTCCTCATTCACTATGGGGGGAGCCTGATTAGATTTAAACCAGTCAAGATCACGAGCGACGAGCTCGTCTGAAAGCTCGGCTTTCCGTGCACGTTTGGGTTGAGGTTTGGAGGGTATTGATGAGATGTTTCCGCGGAGATCATGTGGGGAATTCATGATAGGGGAAGCGAGAGATGAGTTTGCGTCAATTTGGTCCGACGCTACCTCAGAAGGGTTAGGCGGTCGAGGTGCGTCTACATGAACAGAGCCAGGAATCGCTTTGACAGCACCGGGTATTGAAGAAGGTTGAATCTGTGACACTGGCTTTTGAGGGCCAGGTATGAGAGCAAGTTGCGGATGAACCGGGGAAGCAAGCGTGGGCGATGAGATGCTAGTTGTAATGAAATTACATGTGCAGATGTCATTGTGTGAATCTGATTGATTGGGAATTGTGGAAGAAGGAACCTACTTGGCGGTAACAGATCCTCGGGGTAACACGTTACCGTGAGTAGCACTTGTGGACACTCTAGGAAGGGCGGACTCTGCATCAGCAATTACGCGCTCCAATCTGGCTATGGGGGTGTGATCAACAGGAGATGGACTCGGTTGGAAGAAAAAAACTAACATTGGAGTTCGATCTCAGGAAAAAGGCGTATGAATGGAATTACTACCTGAACAAGCTGTCGCAAGCGTTCTGCAGGCTCGGCAACAGCAGAGTGATGCGCGAACGTAGCCACAAAAGCCGAAATCGCAATCTGGAAACCAAAAGAGAGAAAGGATATCCGCTAACGATCAATGTCCAGGCGAAGGGTGATATCCTACCTCGAGAAGCTCGACGATCTAAGAGATTGGGCGATCGGTAGGCTGCTTGGTTATGAGGTGGCTTCTTACCTTGGGACGAGCAGCTGGATAGTAAGCCTTCTCTGAACCTAACCAGACAGCGAGTTTGTGAGCAGTGTTGACAAATTCCTTAGTATCCT